CCCCCCCCCCCCCCCCCCCCCCCCGACTACTCGGTCAGAGAGGACCGGAGAGGAGCCTTCGTTCTTTCGCGCTTCATCGCCCAAGTAAAGTAGACAAGTTGGCTGCTCTCGGAGGACCCAACTCGAGCATTCCCTCTCTGGCCTGGGTCGGTGTGTAGCACGGGGCCGAATACAGAGCTGGATACCGAGATAATATGTACAAAGGGTTACCCATTAGTCGGCGGAACACACAAGTGTCGATTGATCTGTTCGTGGAAAGGCGGACGACGACCCCTTCGAGGAGACACGACGATATCTCGTCCTTCTCGCGGATCGCCTGGCCGTTCCCCGAGCAGAAATCGAGTTCTCTGGACAAACTAGGTTACTGGTTAGGGGACGAAGAAGCGTGAGTCGAGTTTCGAGAGTCTGCTACTGACTTCTAGAAGTTTTTTACTCGCCGTTAACGGCTGTTGTCGTTCGCTCGATCGGCTATTTTACGGGTACACGGTAATGTCTCTCTGATTGACGCGCAGATTGCGAACAAAAATGGACAATCCGAGGAAGAGGAGATGCGATTGTTCGAGCCTTGCGGTTTATTTTTATAGTTATATAAATCGTCCACAATTATAAAAACGAGCCGCGAGGCTCGCGAACAATCGTATCTCCTCTTCCCCAAATTGTCCATTTTAGTGGACAATCCGAGCGTCGGTAAGGGAGACATTACCGTATACGGTATATAAGAAAAGATGGATCTTTTAGTCTAAGAGAGAGTGGGGTGGGGGTTGAGGGGTCGGGGTTCGGGGTTCTGGGGGAGCTCGTTAATGTCTTTATGTACACTTGGATCGTGACTCGGCAAGTTTCAGCGACCGCGCCCGGATTCTCTCGGGCCTATCGCCGGCTCGTGCGTCGGCCGACGAAACCTTCGAGGACTCTGGAAAACTCGACGAGCCTCGGCCGATGATCGGTGCCAAGAAGGCCGCCCCGGGCTAGGTCGCGGAAACCCGAGCCCCGAGTTTCTCCTGGATCGTTGCACCCGGCACCCGGCAACCCCCGGCGATGGCTGCTGGTTATACGAGAGATCGATGCCGATGAGAGTGAGAGACCTCGCTCGATGGCGGCAACGAGAGATTACCAAAAAATGACGGTGTGACGTATATCACGGTCTCGTCACGGTTACACAAGAGAGTACTCGGATAATACTTTGTTAGCTGGGCGTACGGTAACGTATAGATACGTGAATATGGATATAATGGTGCGTACGAAGCAAGCAGTGCGATACGAACTAAGAGGGTACAAGCAGAGCAAATGCTGTCTACGTGGCAGCAATACTCGTGGGTGAATCCAGCGCGGCACGGGGACCGACCAGCCAGCCAGCCAGCCAGAGTCCGCGGATCGGACAACTTTTCGCTTCGCCATCCGTCTTATCTGGTCGCGCAGAAATCCGCGGGGTTCGAGCGGATCGGAACAATGGACGATGGGTTGTTTGGTCGTTGATCGAACGGCTGGCTGGTCGGACCCCGTCCGCGCGTCGTACTTTGTTTACTTGTTTGGTCGACTGAAAGCTGTTCTTGATTTTTTACCTTTTCCTCAAATGCACGTTGGAGGATGTCGACGAGGCGGGTGGGGGTGGGGGTGGAGCACCCCTTTCCCTGATTCTGACAATTGTTAGCATTTGTTAGTGCGATGGAGGTCACACACTGAGGTGTGTGTGCTTGCGTGTGTCTGTCTCTATGTGTGTCGTGTGAACCGCGCGCGCGCTCCTGTCGCCGTGTTTGCTTTTTCTATCTGTTTGCGGCTGTGTGTGTTTGTGTGTTTGTGTGTGTCTCTATCTTTCTCTCTCTCTTTCTCTCTCTTTCCGTGTGTGTGTAAAATGCTAGAGGATCGCGTGTCCATCGGCTCGCGCGTTTGATTCTCGCGCGTTCCCTCCGCGGATTTCTCTCGAGCGCGTGCTTGTGCGAAGCTCCTTCGTCGTCGCGATTGTCCACGTCTATTATCCGAGGTAATTAACGCGCGTCTAAAAGTTGATTCGTCTCGATACGATACGATACGATACGATACGATACGATACGATACGATGCGATGCGATACGATTCGGTTCGATTCCGGCGACCGAACGCGCCATCTAAGCTGATTGTCCGTTTCGATTTAACTCATCGTTCTCTTTGCTTTCTCTCTCTCTCTCTCTCTCTCTCTCTCTCTCTCTCTTTGTTTCGTCGCTCGGTTTCCCTATATCGGTTTGCCCCGAGTGTCGCGTGGGATCGGAACAGAAAATCGTCGGTGAACCTCATTGTCTCGAATGAGCGCCGCAATAACTAGGCCCTCTCTCCTCTTCTCTCCCCTCGTGCAAACCTCTTCGATCGATCATTTTTCCTGCAATGGTGTTGCGCAACGTATACGTGTACCACTACTTTTTACGATCGACTTTCCGAAGTTTTCTTCCTAAAAGGTAAGTGTACGCGACGCGCGCTGTGCTGGCCGCGTCGCGGTGTATCATCGATTAGCTCGGCTCGTGGAAACACGGCCTGGGCTCGTCTCTCTTCTCTTGTGTCGACGGTGTGTGCCTCTGCACGACTTCCCGACGTTTCGTTTGGTTCAAGTAAAAAAATACTATTCTAAGCTAGTCTCGAACGGTCGCTCGCACGATTAAATGCTAATAAGTCTTTGCAGTTTTGTTTGTTTGTTTGCTTGCTTGCTTGCTTTCTTCCATCTTTTTTGCCGTAAAGTCGATGACGTCAATAAATACTATATGTATACATATTTATGTGTGTACGTATGTCTGCTTGTGTGTGTGTGTGTGTATGGTCGCGTGTACGTGTGTATATATAGTTTTTTAGTGAGCGTGTACGTGTGTACGTGTCCGCGTGTGTACATACATATATAGCCTTTCTTCTCTCTTTATTTCTCTTCATATATATATATAGATTTATGTTTTTACGTATACGCGTGCGAGATGTATACTTACATCTATATATATATATATATTTTTTTTTTAAATTACGTATATTATCAAGAATTAGAAAAACATCTGAAAGACTATGACTGCATTCTCGCGTACAACACGTTCCGCGGATAAAATCCTCTCTCTCGCCCCTAAAGCTCCGAGGCTTACGTCCTCGCTCCTCCACATCCCTATATTGCTATTCGTTGGTTCGATTCGTCCTCTATAAATTCTCGTTAACACTACGAAAAACCAAAAAGAAACCGGCGAGGGTACATATACATATATATATACGCGTGACGCGTCTATATATATACTCTCTGAAAATTTTCCATATAAATCCCTCTAACTAGAACCATAAATACTCTCTACACGACGTCCACACGTGGCAGCTAGAAACCGATAAAATCTACCCGCGCGCCTCTCGGCGCTCGCCCCGAACATCGCGATAAAAAGCTCTGTCTCGCTGAGATCCGACGAGTTCGTTACAATAGAGGCCTCCCCCGTGTCTCGTCGCGAGTCTAATTAATCGAATCGATACAATATGACCGGCTGAATCGGGAACAAACGTTAAATCCCACCTACGACGGCTAATCCGCTACCATTGTTAACGCGTTCGCGCGTGCGCGCGTGCGCGCGCGCGCGTTTGTCTAAACACATCGAAACGGAATCGTCGAGCGTCCTAAAAGAACGTTTTACCCCTAAATGCGCGCGGAACCCGCTAAACGCTCGCGAAACGCGTCCTACTTGCTGTCGTCTCCGCGACGGTTCCGCTTTGTCCCGGGACAAAGCTGTAGCTCGCGAACTTCTTCTTCCGTCGCGGCTCGCCGGGACGGACGAGAGCCGCGCGCGCGACGGGAAAAAAGAGCGGATCCGAGACCTGTTGATCCGACTCGACGCGGAGAGAAGTTCGATCTCGGCTCGTGGGAAAACCGACGTTCGCGTTTTCACCCCCGAAGCTCCTCGTTACCGCTACCGGGAACGAGAACTTTCCTAGCTCCGGCTCGGCTCCCTTAGGTCGCGTTCCCCGGGTCTCCTACGTCGACGTCGTCGCGCGGCTTTCGTCCTGGAATAAGAAGACCGGCGCGAGGAAAGTCGAGCGACGAAGACACTTTGTACTCCTGGCTGCTGGCTCGAGGGGCCGCTTCGAGACACTTTCCCGACGCGAGTCGCGCGTTTTCACTTCGACGCCGCCACTTTCGCATTCGAGGAGCGTCGCGTGATCGCGGCGTTCCTCCTCTCTTTCGCGACGGTTCGCAAACTTCGATCGTTCCGCGTCTTTTCTCCGGCTCGATCTTCCGTGTCCCGAAGCGTGTCGCGCTCGTCGGTCGCGATTGAAAACCGTTTCACTGCACGTACTCGAGCTCGAGTCGGAGCGCATTTCGATTAGAAATCTTAGCGAGAGTGGTACATTCGACGACGCGTTATCGTCGATGCAACGTGTCCGATCTTTAGCGCGCGTCGCGGTTTCAACGACGCTGCGCTGCACGCGCGTCGGAGCAGCTTCGGGACACACGAGTTCGTTGTCGCAGGCTCCTCGAGAACTCGAGGTCGCGTAAAGTATCGAATTGCCGGCTCGAGGAGCGTACGACCGGCGAAAAAACAGCGGCGTCGAGACGGAGGCGCGCGACACGTTTCGTGAAAAACCGCGTCGAGAGTGATCGCGACACGGTTTCGAGAAGATCGCTCGGTCGTTCGACTGTTCCAGGCGCGCAGCTACATATCGGGTGTGTCTAGATTCGCGACAGACGGTCGACGACGGAAGTTGAGAGCGACTGCGTGTTGTCCCCTGGCTAACCGAAATGCGTGAACGGGACCCAATTGGGGTAGGTAAGCGGTGGCTGCTGTGGCAATGCGTGTGTCGTTGCGTGTGTGTGATAGTGTAAGCTACGGCCGGCTCCTGGTGGCATTACTGGAACGGCAATCGTCGACTGGGCTTGATGGGCCTGATGGCCGACTACGTCTACGAACTGGCCGGTGGCCGCGGCTGGCATCACAGCGGCCGCTGCCGCGACCTGTGCGGCAGCCGCGTGGCTTGTGACATAGTATGGATTGTGTGCAGGTGGCCTCACGCTGTTGTTGTTGTAGTAGGTTGTTGTTGGAGAGTTGTAGATTGGTGGTAGATGGTAGTTGTCGCAGTTGCGTTCGGTTGCAGTTCGTAGTCGGGTACCAAAGACACCACAAAACCAAAACCACAAAGAATTAGCCCAGAAAAAAAGGGACGTCGTCGTGGTGGGAGAAACTGAAATATCGTTCATGGAGAGAGATTTTTTTGTTCTGTTGGGACAAAGAACGGGACAGGTTGTGCACAGCGACGGGAGAGAGAAAGAACGGGGACTGCTGTTGCTGCTGCTGTTGCTGCTGCCGATGCTGGCGTGTTGCCGGTGTTCTCGGCGGACCGATTCGCGTCGGGTCGAACGATTTCGACGAAAGAGCCGTGGAATCGATCCCCGAGAACCGGACGACCGGAGGAGAGGAACGCGAACGTGGCCCGTTCCGTTCGACCGAAAACGCTTTCACCGTTCACCGTGCTCGGTTCGGCTTTCGGCGACGATACAGTCCACGGGGCTACGTGTGAAATCCAAACGATAATCGATTGGTCTCGGCCGATCGGTTCGTCCCGAGTCGAAACGGTCCCGTTACGAGATCGTTTTTCTCGGGTCCGAGAGGAAACGTCCGCCGCCTCTTTTCTCTTCTCTTCTCTTCTCTTCTCTACCCTTCCCATCTCGTCTGTTCTCGCGTCTCGTCTCGTCTCTTCTTTGCTCTTCTTTTCTGTTCTCGTCTCGTCTCTTTTTCGAGCGGCCTCGGAACGGTGGCTACCGCGCGACACAGACGTCTCTCTCGTATTCCTTATTAACGATCGGTCGACGATAAAGCGGAGCAAGACGTCCGACTCTCTCTCGAGTATCGTTTGATCTCGCCTTTGTTCGCCCTTTTTTCGCGTGGTTCGCGGTGGAAATAAGTGGCGGCGCGGATGGGCCGAGTTGGAAAG